GTTGCTCTCTAATTATGGCTTCACCTAATTCCAGGTTATACCACGTCCTCATGCTTATTAGAGAGAAAGGTGTGATTGTGCAGTCTGACATGAAATATTCAGTTCTTGCAATATTTCACCAAATAGGATACAAATGACAAATGCTAACTGGAACAGTTTAACAAGTCCCCCAAATAATGCAGCAGTGGCCATCAATTAAGTCTCCAGTTAATGAACGATACTCATCATGGAGCAACCTCTGATCAATACCTCCACCGTGGATCATCAGAAACACTAACAGGCCACCTTTTGCCCTTGACCATTCTCCATCATATCCACTTTTTTATGTAATGGTGGTGGGTCTGCATCTGGTCCAGTCATACCTTTGCTCACCACACTCTGTTCCCAGAACAGAACCTAGACCACACTGACTGGACATTCATAGTGGGATCACTTTAATCTATAAATCTCATCTCCCTGTGTTTCTACTTCGGATGCTGGACCGGATCGCCATCTCAAACACACTTTCGGAGAGGTCAGGGGAGCCGAAGAGCCCTGAGACTGCTTTTCCAGAGTGGATTTATGGGCATAGGCAGCTGTTTAAACCTTGGTTATTTACTGACAATTCGTTAACCATCCAGCTGTTTATTCTGAAACAAAAGCCAATTCCTTCACACAAGCAAATCAATTCAAACAAGGCACTACTCACGAGTGACACTAAGATTGTGAAAGATCCACTCACATTGCACTGTAAAGCTCAATATATCTACTGTGAGCAATTTTTCATCATAAAATGAAAGCATAAATTCAAGCTAACAAAAGGAGTGTTTATAAAAGCATCTAACCAGTGAGGTCCATCACACTGCCCCAGACAGACTGAAGAGAAGGCACATCATATGGACTGATGATTTTAGCTTTTTTACTGCTGATGTCTGCAAGTTACTATCTGCCATGTTGGATAAATGTAGTTAACCACTAAAATGTACTATAGACAAAGACAGCAGCCAATAACCATAAGTCGGACAGAGCTCAGAGTAAAGTTACAACATAACTCAGTTTATTCAGTGACCCAAAATTTAGTAAACACTTTTTATGCATTTCACAATGAAAGAGACAAATCAAAAACCTCATTTTCTACTGTGATATAATGATATGGCAATAAAAGCCATATTAAACTTTATTAATGTACTGTTATATGTTACCTGTATATTTTAGGCAAGGAAGAATACAGAAAATGTATTATAAAAATGTAAGTGTTGTTGATATAGAGATCTGTGTGTAACAGCCTTGGCTACACTGGGCGACAAAACTGCAAACAGTCTGGTGTGGTATTAAAGCGCACGGTAAACTGTAAAGCAATGAAATAAATAGTACGATTCATGCAAGAATTAAGATTGTGATCAGTCGGAAATTATAAATTTCAATGCAAATGTACACAAGAAAAAATTAAACAGTCAGTAAGGTATGCTGTAAATAATAATAATATAATAATTTTAAAAGCGCGCAGGTAAGCTGTGAAAATACAGCGCAATCAGGCTTACCTTATTGTTACAGCTTTCTGAATTTAACTTCAGATCCAACCTTGTAAGTCATTAAGCAAGCCAGTTCCAACAGATCGGTCTCTTTCGCCTCCAAGTTGAAATCAGTAATAACAGAAAACCCGGCGCTGATTCTGGACGGTCCCTGTTCAGGAGAGCAGCCTGTACCTGTGCGCGCTGCGCAGTTATTGGCCCCGGAGTTGTCAGCGCACAGCAGTAAAAGGGAGAAAATGTTCCTCTAGTTCAATCTTGTCCGATACCATAAGGCGATTGCTGTCGCCGCACGACCACAATCAACATCTCGTGGGAAAAGGCAGTTGGAAACAAAGTCCCCGCGGTGTACAGAGGTCCGGACACGCAGCGTCTGCTCCTCAGGAAAGTTGGGCGCTCCTCACTGTAGGGAGGCAGGGCGCTAGCAGGTGGATGCAGAGGCCCATTTGCCTTAAACACACCCACAGGGCGGGCAGCGCAGAGCCGAGCCGCCCATCAGCCTGCTGGGGGCCGACATGATTTAGTACTGTATTATAGCACAGTATAGTGCCAGAGAATTCGGCTGGAGCAAAGGATGGACCCTTATCCGAATTTTTGCTTAAGTTATTTTTCTGTTTATATCATCCTTGTTACACATTAGGCAAAAAGTGTTAAATATTTCCATACCTTTAAGAAGCAACCCTCATGGGTTTATGAGCTGTAACTAATGCTGCAGCAGTTAATAATTGTCAGCAGCACTTTTCTAGAGATATGTGCTCAAACAGTCCAACCAGTGAGGAAGCTTTCACAACCTGGCAGCCTAAACACTGTTCTCACCCATGTCTTTTAACTGATTTATAAATCATAAATAAACTGTTTAATAGCCAAAAGGTGATAAAGACATTTTGAATGTGTGTCAAAGTTACCAAAACATTACCTACGTGATCACAGGTAATGAGCTGAATGACACAGAAAAGACACTGATAGAAAAATACTGATTATACCTTATTGGCTGAGAAGTAAAATATGATAATGACATGTTTTAAATAAAAGCAGTAGCACCATCAACACCAGGAATAGTAAGTAGCATAGTACATTATTTATACAGCTGCTCATGCTATTAATGTATTATTATCTGGACATTAGCATTTCATGCTTTAATCCAAACTGATTAAAGACGAATCAGATTAGCTCCTGCCTCAGTGTATGGATGTAATGCCAGGTCCCCACTGCAGCTGCTATAGTCATTCAGGATGGATGTGTTGGCTTGCTTTGCATCAGTCACCTGTCTTTTCATCCTCTATTGCTGTGACAACCAGCGAGCCACCATGTGGAGGAACATGTTCAACGGGATTTGGCTTAAATGCTGCCTATCAGTGAGTGGCTTTGAAATAAATTATTTACTTTTACTTACATTAGTTATACTTTTAAACACGTCTTATAAAGATAAAACAACTTGTACAAACTTTACCATTTACTGAGTAAAAGTTTCCTCCAAGTTTATTGCAGTTTCACTGACTTTATTCTATTGAACATTTGACCTGCCAAGTCAATTTTAGTGACTTATAGCTCAGACAGTTTAATGATTGTTAGCTCCAGCTTATCAGAAATTAAAAGTCTTATCTCAGTTATGTACCCACTGATTTGAAAAAGGGTGAGAAATGTAATTCTTTTGATGGTACAGTACATGGAAAATGACGATTAAAATGCTTAATTTGTTCTTCTATTCAAACACTGATTGGATGCTTCAAAGTCACTGAGTTACCGCCTGTGACATTTTTCTAAAGCTCATTGAGAAATTAAACATTTTCCCACTTTTAATCATATTCCATTCAGCATCCTTTCACACCTGTATTATCTGCCTCTCATTCAAAACTTTAAATTGCGTGCACTGGATTCACCATTAAGCCTGTTGGATAGTTGGAGTGCAAGTTTGTAAGGTGTTCAGCTGTCTGCTCAAAGGGGTCAAAAGAAGCTGTCCAGCTAAACTTTTCTTCCACATGAAGCCATGACGATGGCTCTGTAGCCGTCACTCTGAGGTTTGACCCAAAATAAAAGTTCTTTTTTAAAGTGACTTGGCAAAGGTCAAATAGAAAAGGATCAGCGTGATGAGTCCAAGCAGATGTCTTCCTCTTCAAGACAAGTTATCTATTCATTAAAGCCATGGCAGATTTTCTGAGAAGTGGAGCCTTCACCTTCTCCAAAGCCACATTGCTACACACATCACTCACCCAGTCCAGTTTTCTGAAAGGAGCAAGACAATCAGCTGTCAGCCCTGATTTCATACAGTCACTGTGTGTCTATGCTTTACTGTTTGGTGGGAATTCGAGGTGAACTGTGCGCACTACCCACAAGGCTCTGTTGCTCCTTACTGGACCTGAACTGTTACATCTGTGATAGAAATCTCACCAGTGCATGATCTCAAGCTGCTGTTGACATCTATCTAAGTATGAAGTTGTTTTAATCTTCTGCAGAAGAATCTGCATTCCAGATGAGGTGAGAATAGTGTTTTCTGTCTGCAGGGCATGAACAGATGCCAGGTGTTTTATCAGCATTTGTAATTCTTACACAGTTCAAGGGATTATCTGCAACACATTCCCAATTTCAATGTGTGTGGAGAGATGTGGCACATTGTTTTGTGGTTTGGTGCTGTGAAGAGCCATGAATGATCTCAGTGACTCAGTAATACTGATTTTGAAAGTATCAGTCTTGTCTGCAGATTACATGCTAACACAGCCACTTTTTGTGCATGTATGTAGTTTATATAAAGTCTTCAAACAAAGCAAAAACTGGTTCGTTGCCCCAACACAGATTTAGTCATATTTCAATACTCCAAATTCAGCAGGCAGGTGCTCAGCCTGTGCTGTGACCAGATAGCAGAAAAGCTTAGCTCCCAGCACTTTCTCTAGATGATGTTCTCAAAGTTATTAGCATTTAAATGAGAAAAGAAAAGCATCATATCTAGATCACAGGAAAACTCTCAACTGTGTAAAACTTGTTCAACAATTCAAAAGTGTTTAGAACTAACTTTTCTCATCTCCTGAAGTGAGGGATGGAAGCGAGTCAGTTAAATAAGAAAATGAACATAGTAGGTATTAAAGGAAGGAAGGAGTGGATTTCAGGCTCTGTGATCACACTGAATGAAAGTATGTGACTCCTTGGCATGAAGATTACAAGTCAGTGCTTTGACTGCCTTCTTTTCCTCTACCTGTCTGTGGTTGGTGCCATTGAGCAACAGTTTCCGGTTGTCTTTGGAAGCATGCAGCGCTCCATACCCTTCCCAGACTCGGCAGGCTCCACAATACTCTACTGCTGGGCTCACCCCTCCTGGCTATGGGAACCACAACCCACTGAGGCTAGAATAAAGGAAATGGCTTCGATTTCCTTCCACTTTTTACACTGGTCTTGACCATGCTGGATAAACAAGCCCATGCCACAGTGTGTGTGTGTGTGTGTGTGTGTAAGAACATTTGTATTTTTATGTCATTTAATTTGTGTGTGTGTTTTTTGGACACAATAATGTGTGTGTTGAAGAACAGGTGAGTTCATTTCTACCCACTCCTGCTCTACATCAGTGTTGACATTATTTGAAAGGTAAATACTGTGTAATTGAACGAAGTCACAAACTGAGACATGAGCCATGGGAGGAATACCAAACCCACTTTAAGACTCAGTACGGCTCTGTTCTCTGCAACAGGCTGTCTGAGGTCTTGTTTGGCTGTCACTGTAAAGCAGAGTGGCAAGATGTGAACAAACAATCCATCTACCAAAGTTTGAATGGTGATTTCATTCAGCGGAAAATTGGGTGTGAGTATAAAAAAGGAAACACAACCTAGTCCTCTAGGTGGATCGTATATGATTCATAGTTAGTATGCGTCATTCTTCCTCTTCACGCTGACTTTCTGGGAGGTACCAGACTAGGACAGAGTTTATGCTGTGCTAGGACCCTTGTGAGAAGAAAAACTAGATTACATCACTGAACCACTCATGTGTTTAGATGTATGTAGCAAAAATCATTGTTACACATACTCTGATGATGCATTACAATTTGTAAAACTGGTTATATGGGTGGGACCTGCTATCACTGCAGGACAATATAACCAGAAGATTCACAGAAAATGGCTCTGACAGTGTCACATGACTTCCCAAACTGATTATTGCAGGCCTCCATACATTGGTAGCCAGGGGTAAGGCACTATTAACAGGACTTTTTACGTTAAGAGAGTTTCTCTTTTGATTGCATGAAAGTCAATTTATCATACAGATATATTTCTTATGTTTGTATCATAAACATGTAGCTGAAGCCAGCAGCCTGTGAGTCTAGTTTAGCATAAAGACTGGAAAAGGGGTAAAGAGCTACGCTGGCTCTGTGCCAAGGTGCTATCACAAAATCCACCTACCAGCATCTCTAAAACCCACTAATTAATACGGGATGACTTACTGTCTAATCCAAAGTGTAAAAACATTAAGCTGTTGGTTTTATGTACTAGTATGTCCTTATTCACTGGGAGCAGTGACTTTTCAACTGTTACTTGTTATTTTTATAGCTTGATGTTGGAATGGATTAAATAAATAAGATATATAAATTAGTGGTTAGGTTAGAGGTGCTACCGGTTCCAGTCTTTAAGCTAAATTTCCACAGCCATCTCCTGGCCTGATTTACCATACAAATGTGAATAAATAAATGAAATGAAATCCATAGTTGAATATTTTTATTTATTTATTTGTATCTTATGTTTGCATCTTTTATTTATTTTCATTATTTGCATTATTTTACGATGTGAAGTCAGACCATGATCAGATTGGTCCATATTTATGTTGATGAAATGCTGCCTCATTTTCTGCTGATCATATTAAAAAGCATGCCACATGTTCCCACAGCTGCATGAGCTGCTACTACAACTCTCAAACACTTAACAGAACCCCATCACACAATCACAACACTAACAGCGACTGCCAGTGACTTCTGGTTGACAGTCTGGCTCTCAGTAAAGCAACCATAAAATCTCTTCTGGAAAAAGTTCCTGTACTCTACCTAAAAAGATGCCAGGCACTGAGGCTTTCCAACATGTACTGTATGATAATAGTGATAGTGATGATAAATGTTCACATCTATGTGCCTGTGATACAAAGAACAACCTGCACTCTCTCCCATGAGTTGGTTATACCATTGACTTGGCATTGCTTCATTTCATAGCTGTTTCCTGAGGATATCGTGTGACTCCTTGTGGATAAAAGTGCACTACTTCCCCTGAGCTCTCATTTACTTCCTGCCTTTTGATAGGACACTGAGGCCATGACCCCTTTAGTCAAATCCATTCTCTGTCAGTTTTAATCTGACTGAGCTCTTGTTATGTTTGCACTGGGGGAAAATCCTGCGATATCTGTTCAAACGTGTGTTGCCAGCTCCAC